CAGTCTGGTCTCAAACTCACAGAGATCTACCTGCCTCTGCCTCCTGAGGGCTGGGATTAAAGGCATGAGCCTTCACCATAGGCTCTGAGAATTGAATGCAGGCCCTTGGGCTTGCACTGCAAACACTTGAATGGCTGAACTGTATCTCTCCAGCCCCTAAAGATTTAATTTGAGCCACTTCTTGTTTTCTCTCCTGGGAATCCCAAGTGAGTTGTAACATTTGTTTCTGATATTCTGAAGTAGTGTTGGGTATAAGAAGTGTTAACTAGAGTCTTCTTGAGACTCACTGAAAAGCTGTGGGCATTTTTGTTTTTTTCCTCTGGGTCTACGAGTTAGGTCTGAATATGAAGCCTGCACATGAATGTTTCGTCAGTCTGGGCTCGTGTTTTGTGGGAACACGAGAGCTTCTGTGTCCTTTATGCTCTGTGCTTGATAAATGGACCAATGAGCCTTGTTTGTGACCCAACCTTCCCATTTGTCTTTGCTCAAACCCAAAGTGCCGCCTGCTAGTAAAGTCTAAATATTAAACAGTTTAATATTTAGCTGCTTGGGTCTAGGACAGCATCAGACACCAGCTCAGTTGTATCAGCCAGTGTGGCTCTGGGATAAAGAAACTAGGAGAAAGAGCGGGGGAGGGAGAAAGGGAGAAAGAGGAGAGGGAGAATACCTCCTTTTGATCTTATCTGTCACATATATGTGACAGAAAATTTACTAATTTTCTAGGAGAGTCACTTAAGGGGAGTCAGAGAGTCCTGAACATGCCACTGAGCAACCAGGCTGGATCTCTCGGGTACCTCTCACAGATATTCACATGAGAACTTCCTGGAGCAGTGGCTGGTCAGTGACATGGAGTTTTTGGTTGATTTTTTTGTTTGTTTTGGTTTTACGAGAGTGAAGACTTGTCACTCCTGATAATCCAGGAATAGAGCTAGAGCCAATTGCATGCTCAGAGTGAATGCCACAGCCCAGAGGCCTCAGGGGATCAAGGACAGGGAAATGGTGTGCATATTCTGTACCACCAGCCAAAGTCCAGTGCCAGCAGGTTCTGGTGACAGGCAGGTCTGGAGGAAGTGTGCTGTGGCTGTTTTGAGGAGTCCTCTGGGGCTGTGTTTGGAAGTTCCTGGTCATTGTACACAAACTGAATGGGTCTTTGTTGTGTTTCAGCTTCATTAAATCAGCATGGAGGGAAAATACTATTGTTTGGGTCAAAGTTGTAAAAGATAGCAAAACCCAATACATATAACCTTTCAGAATCTATTTACAGTGACTCCCCCCTTTTGCCCTTTTCCACCTCTAAATGTCACAATTATTGAAGGTTGAAGTTTTGGGAGCAACATGTACTAGATTTTGGGTGACAATAATCCATTGGAGAGAGATGTGGCTTCCACGGGACCTGTATACACACCCTTGGCCTCTGTATTCATTCCCAGGCCAGTTGGGTATTATTTGAAAGTGCTGGCTACAGTCTAGTGTTAGGTCAGGGATCTAAACATACTTGCCTGACTATAAAAATCAGGATGCCTGGCCTGATTCAGATTTTGAGAGACATTTGTGCTACTGTAGTTGGGATTCTGGATGGATGCCACTGAATGCTGAGATGTTTTTAGGGGAAGAATGCAAGTGAGAACCTTTTGGCCACATTTGGCCACATGGTCATTTATGGAGCTATTGGTTCTGTCCATCAAAGGGCCAGTTCCCTAGCAGGGCTGGTGACTGATGCATATCCATCCATGCCCTGCTTCAGAACAGCAGCCCAACCTCAGCTGGCCTCCAGAACACCCAGAGACTGATCCAGCTACAGGTTCTGCTCTTCTCACTGCAAGTTCATATTCCTGTTGTGTGAAGCAAAGTTTCCTCTGCCTGTGTAACTAGTTCTGTCCAAGGCCATGGCCTACACTTTGAGAGACTCCCTGCTTCCTGTTACCACTCCATGTGTTTGGAGCTGTGTTTATTATTGAGACGGGGGAGGCTACTGTAGAGTGATGACTGCCACAGGTATTCCCTGTATTCTTAACTACCTAAAGCATGGCTTCTGTGAAGTTATCACAGCAATACATGTCTCTCACCCTTTTCCAGAATGCAAGGTCGTCCTTCCTCCTGTTCTGTGTGAGACTGCTTGACTCTTAGCGACTGGTACAGTTTTCTACAGGAGGCACTTCAGCTGTCATTGTCAGGAGCAAAGGGCCCAGGCTCTGTACTGTGAGGCTGGTATATTGATTCCCTCCAAATGGGCCTCACAGTGAGCCCTGGCTTCTCAGGGTCTGCTAGGGAAGCAGTCTGTTACTGAAGGAAGCCACCAGGGACCCCCTAGAAAGAGGCATACACCACCATGCCCAGCAAGATATTATATTTTAGTATGTTCCTTCTGGCTATTAGGCACTGTGTGTGTGTGTAATAAAGGTGGGGAGGAGAAGGGAAAAGGGTGCTGGGGGGCCTGCAAAGGGGACTCACATCTCCTCAGGTAGATAATCAGAAAGCCAACAAGCACATCCTCTTCTGTAGAACTCACTTTACCAGACTCTCTGAGACATTTCAGATCTTACTCCTTCCCAGTCCTTCTAGCTCTCTTCAGAGGATCTAGAGAAAGGTGACAGGGCTATGTCAGAGCAGAGGAGGAAGGAACAACATTCTGAGAACTGAAACCTGTTTTCTTCCTTTGGATAACCTACCTAAAGCCTGGCTGGTGGGTGCTGGCCTCAAGACTGCTTCTTCCCTCACGGGGTAGTAGGTGGGGACAGTTGTGCCATGTGTCTTACCACATTCTGGGTCATCCCCATTGTTCTCAAGAAGCATTATGGAAGCTTTTGCCAGCCTCATTCTGTGATAGAAGAGCGGTTGAGCAAAATGAGGACGATATGGGCAGGGTGGGTGTAGGCATACCCCAGGGACTGCCCTGCACACACTGAACTCATCGGGATTTAGGAACAAAGGAGGCTGGGCTTTGTTGGTACGGGGAGGGACACAAGGCCTTCAGTAGCTCACTCCTCACTTCACACCAAAGCATGTTGATTCTTGTTAATTCCAACTAGGCAGAAGCCCTGCAGTCTACAGCTCCAAATTGTGGCCTCAGTGGTCACCTGACCTACATGATATAGAGTCACAGCTGCTGTTTATTCCTCCAAGCCAAGGGTATGGGAAGAGGCCAAGGAGGGCTTCTGAAATAACCCCAGCGCCTGCTCTCAATATTGACTTGATCATGGGGGAGGGAGGGAGGGAGGAGAGGAGGGAGGGAGGGAGAGGCAAGGAGGAAGAGGAGGATGCTGAGGGCCAAATAGATCTCTGTAGCCAGGGCCAAAGCTGTCACTTTTGATGCTGAGCTCATCCCTGCTGGAAACCAGATTGAAGGTGCATTCTGCAGAAATGCAGGGTTTTAGTGAGCCCAGGCAGGTGAGGGAATCTACCCTTGTCTCTGCCACTCCAGTCTGGGCTGGGAGACCATAAAGTGATGAAGGCTTGCTGAGTGTGGTGGCTCATTCGTGCAGTCTCAGAACTTGAGAGGCTGATAAAGCAGGAGTCATCATGAGTTTGAGATTTGTATGGACTACATAGTAAGTATTGGGCCAGCCTGAGTTGCTGAATGAGACTCTGTTTCAAGAAAACAAGCAGAAAACTCCCCGGAAACCATGGTGGCTATTTCTGTGCTCCTGGAGACCTGGGAAAGCCTCAGATGCTCAGTCACCACCAGTCTGCAGAAGTCGAGCATAACTAGAAGCTGCTTCAGTTACTAACTTCCTTCCCTCACACCGTGCAGGGAAGGCACTCCTCAGGTGGCTGAGGGGGCTGTGCAGATATGCATGGCTATGTTCTGATGGCATGGCTCATCTTGGGTGCTGCTTCTGGCACCTACAGTGTTTCTAGCACCTGGTGCTTAATGATCCAGGAGGCAGTCTGTTGGAGAGGAAGTAGGAAACCAGCACTGGGGGGCGGGGTGGGGGTGGGGGTGGGGGCTTCAGGAACTGTGTGGTCTGAGCATGCAATGGTAAATTTTGAGAAAGGGTCTAAGCTTATGTAACCTTGGCAGCGCCACTCAAGTTCCAATTCCCTCCAGCTCAACCATTCCTAAAGGGACATTGTCCCCTCAGGGTCCCAGGGGTCCTGAGCTGTCTCTCTCACCCTCTATACAGTGAGAAGA